ACTGAAATAAAACTCAAAATAGCAACAATAAATATATTTATAAAAAATGTATATAGGTATATGTGTATACACAATTTACATATAATGCAAAGCCAAATAACAGTGGTAGTGGATGATGTACACATACAATGGGACCTAATAGCCCCTCAACAAACGAATAGTCACTACCACTGGCCAAATAAAATATGAAATATTAGTAAACAACAAGAATAGTCCGTAGGGTAGCCTAAGTCTTAATACAAAAAGGTAGTAATTTAAATTTAAATAGTTCTACTAATAGGAGATACTAATGACAATATTGTAAAGATATCAAACTTGATAAGTCTATTACAATTATTATATTATATCCAAAAAGTGAGTCTTCAATACTCCTTATACAATGTTTTAAAAACCACATGAAATTCATTTCCCTTCCCAATATCAAAATTATTTTATATCAAATGTATTGTATTAAAAAAATACATATATATTAAATCAACAAATGAGTTCGGTCAGACTCTGTATATCCTATTTAAAAACCTAATAAAACATGTAATATATTTTCTTCTCCCCAATATTTTTAGAATTAGATTATATCAAAAATTAAATTATCACAAAGGTATTCACCTTATCATATGCATATGATGAGTTAGATATATAGTAACAAATAATACATAGTAACAAAATAGATAGTAACACAAAAAGTCAAATAGTTAAACAACTTATCTTTACGGCACTATAAGTCCATAGGAAAAACTCCTCTTGGCACGGCTAAATTAATTTGTTGCTGTAAGGACAAATCCTGGGCACAAAGCCACAACCAGTCACTGGTCTCTGGGTGACAGCAAAATCCACGGGTTGTTAACTATTCAAGAAATTTAGTTACTTGAGTCCTTGAGGGAATTTTCTGAAGAGAATATCCTCAAGTAAAGTGACGGAATCTAAAATTATTATTTAATTTAATAAATACAATTCAATAGGTGTAGCAGCATGGATTGACTGCACCAAAACAAAACATCAAAACATTATGTTATGTCAACATCATGTCAAATTTATGAAGTTACTTTCGTAGGCATGGCAAACTTGCGCCATGAAAAGAACATGCGCAGAATATAGAAGGCTGTCCAATATTTGTCGAACCTTTTTATATTCCACCAAAAAAGTTAGGTAAAAAAGAACCAAAAAAACTTAATGATAACGACGTGGAATAAAACAGAATTTAAGTTTAACTATATAAAAAAAAATGACCTTCTGTTCTTTGCAAGTAAATCAAGGAAATTTTATATTTAAATTATTTCGGAACTCAAAAATAAATCTCTAAAGAAATACTAAATACAATGATAAATTTGATTATATGATAAAGAGATAATACGTATAAAATGATTTACTTACATGGAGCTCGCAGCACGCCAAAAAAAAACTCTTCCTTTTTATGTGGAACTCATAAATGAATATTGATTTTATTATACAAATTACTTATTTATATTATTATTAATGAATTATATTCTTCCCCAAATTATTTTTCTGCTCCAATTCCGTCACTTTGAAGGTGAACAATTTCACCGGCTGACGTGGCTGCGTTGACGAGTTCTGACCAAAACTAATCGTTCCGCTTCCGCATAAAATCGATCTTCCTTTCAAAGCGATAACAGCGCGTGGGTGAAGGAATGTCGATTTAAAAATCGATCACAGGCGGGTTATAAAAATTTCTAAAGGGGTTAATCAGTAGCGTAAACGCTACAGTACCACCTGCAAACTTCTTGAAAAAATGATAAATAAAAGACTTACTTGGTTGTCCGGTTTTCGACGTCATCAATCTACTCTTGATAACCTTGTTGTTCTTTAAACACACATTGATGAAGCAATCAACAAAATGTCGTAGCAACTGTATTTGAATTAAAGGGACATTTCATTCAATCTCCAGAAAAGCAATAATTGACAAACTTCCCCATTACAATTTAGATGGTAATATTCTCTCATTTGTAAAAAACTTTATAACTGGAAGAACCACTAAAGTTAACTATCGTGTCAATAGCCGTAGAAGATGGTTGTTCGGTGATCGCTATTATTATTTTGTAAATTTCTTTAGTGCAAATTAGGTGTATAATTTGGTATTCCAAAAAATCGAATAATGAAAGAAGGCACTACGGGTGATCATAAACCACCAGCCAAATTTAATTCTGAAAACATTTCTCAAAAAACTAATAATAATGATAACAGTGTAGGAATGTAGAGAAATTATCTATAGTAACACCTCGACTAGTACCTATAAAGAAGACGCTTAATCTGTTACGACTCTAAAACCTTTTTTTACGTTGCGCTCCTGATCGCTTGGCTGTTTAAATTTTCAAACGATGCAGGTATATTGTTTCCACATCTGCTTATTACCTAAACCTTAACACCATACTTTGCAGACTTTGAGCTCATGTATTGTTTAAATGAGCACTTTTCTAAATGCTACAAGCTGTTCATTCACAGTTTCTTGTTCATTAGGAATAAACGTATGTTTTCAATTCGTAACAAAAAGTTCCCATATCATTCATCCCATAGATTTATCTTCAAATCAGATAAATTTGCTTACCTGAATAAATCTCACACGAAGAATTGATGCTGTGAATATTTTATGATGAAATAATTCATCAGTTCTCCACATTTTTGCAACGTTATCTTTTTGAAAACGTTAAACTCCTTCTGTAATCAAAACTTCAATAAATGCATCGAGATTTATAATATCGATGAATTTCCATATGATCTGTTTTTCCAGGTTTTTTTTCACTGGAAATTTAGTATATGCGAATAAATTCTTGGTTGGTATATTGACACGTACCTTCATATCATGAGTTATTCATGTCAAGAAAATATTAAAAATCCCAAAAAATCGGTATATATTTAATTGCTTCTTCTGACTTCCTCCTCTGTAGATTTCGTTCTGTCTCTTCTCCAGCCTCATTATTTACTATAGTATCTTTAGCCGGCTCGTCTTCGTTCTCCTCAATATCTACGTTAATATTGTCTTCGATTTCTGAAAAACTAATTTCTTCTAGCATAAAATCGAGATCTCGATCATCATCATGCATTTGATACTCATTATTGCTTTGATCATCGTACAAAACAACAAACACATAAATACCCACAGACAAACAACCGTCGACTAACTCTAATTACTTCAGGTTGAGTGCCGCGCCGAGCTGCCGACAGTGCCATCTAATAATAGAACCATCAAAGACATATATTAAGGTCACTCAAAAACTAGTCTTATATTTAATAGATCGTTCGATAAGTTTATAACAGTACTTAAAACCTTAATTAGCGCCAAAAATTGAAAAACAATAGATACCCAAAATGCAGTTTTGGATATCTATTGTTAATTATTGAAACTTGGTAGAAGGTAATAGAATTTGTGTAAAAACCTTAAAACCTCAGCTTTACAAAATTCCATGGATAAAATTGGTCATCATTTAACTGAAGTTTAAAAAATATGGCCCTGGGGCATAGACATATAATACACGACAGACTAACTGCTGCAATACAGTAGCATTTCCCTAGTGCGACAGAAAAAACTGACGCAAAGCAGTTTCTGCGTCTATGTCTAATGGGCCAGGTTTATCGACTAAGTGATCTTCTCATTGATCATTTAGGTCACGTGGTCGATAAACTTGGCAAATTAGAAAGAGCCGCAGGGACTTCTTTGCATCAGTTTTCTTTGCCGTACTGGGAGAACGGGCTGGTATTGCAACGATCAGGCTATCTTGTATTATATATCTATGCTAAGGGTTAAGTAAGAAATAATACCACATGGTTTTATTAACAGTCAAAACTTTGCCCCTTTACTTAATTTCATATACTAATTTTACATTATACTATAAGTGTATAAGTGAAAGACAGCAAAAGGTAACTGTAGATGGCAAAATCAACATGACCAAAACTGCGACTTACGGAGTTTCGTAAACGACGGCGTTGGAGCCGCTTTTATCTAGTATTTATACAAGCACATTACTTACATTACAGACCTTAGGCCAGATCATAAGTTTCGCTAACGATGCAGCCATTTTTTATAGCAATAGTTATTAGAAAAAGTTAAAGAGAAATGTCGCAATGGACTTTGTAAAAATAAAAAAATGGTTTCAACATAACCAGATAATATTTATTATTGAAAAATCTAAATAATTGCGGTTTTCATCATACACCACTAGGTTATCAAACTTCAACCAACTTGAAATCGACAACGATACAACAATTGCTAAAATAGGATCATCATATCGAAAATGTAGTCAAAAAATAAGAGGTTTACTCCCAAAATTTAGATATTTGCGCGACTTTCTGAATGTTCACCACTTGAAGATTTTATACTGTTCTCTAGTACAAATACAATTAGCCTATGAGATTATTGGATGGGGTGGAGCCTACAAGGTCCGCCTTAAAAATTTACACGTTATACAAAATTGGATAATTAGAATAATATATAGATCTTCAGTAGACCAATTATTTACAGACAGTCATTACATGGATTTAAACCAGTTGTACTCCTACAAATCGTTATTAGGACATTTACACTGTGATAAATCATTTCTGAATTGTACCCACCATAAATATCAAACTAGACATAGAAATTTAACGATATCAGTACCAAAAAAAATCCATTGCAAACGTTGCATTGATTTTTTGGGACCAAAAATTTTCAGCTACCTACCATCTACCAACAAAACAATACACAACTATAAAAAATAAAAATAAATAAAATAATGGATCCATGGTAATAGGTATAGCTGAGTTTAAAGCATCAAAGTGTTAATGAGTTGTGTAATGTTTTGAGTAGTGTGTTACTGCTTAAAAGTTTTTATAATTGTAATTTGTGCAATAAAAATATGCTCAATACAATTCAACCCTCATACAAGTTATAGTCCATGTGACACACAACTTCTGTGAGAAACTGGGTTTATTTATATATTGTATAAAATATGTAACTTTATATTGTAACACAATTTTTTGTTACAATATAAACAAATGATTTAATATTTTAGGGAATCGAAGAATCTCAGGGAGCTATGTTAATTTCCATAATTGGAATAACTAATATTGTTAGTCGTTTAGCTGTTGGTTACCTAGCAGATTTTCCAAGTGTTAATAACTTTCTAGTTAATAACTGTTGCCTCATGTTAGCAGCCGTTTCGACAGCAGCAATGCCGTTATTTTCTAGCTTCATTGCTTTGGCAATTTTGGCCGTATTATTCGGAATAGGCATCGGTAAGTAGACTACGTTTTATTCTAAATATACGCGTTATAAACAAACTGGTAAAGCAGAATGTACAGTTATCGAAACTAAATTCGACTAATTAAATATTGTTTAAAGTACCTAACGTCAAAAATGTTAATAAAAAAATAATATTCCTCGACGTTTTCTTAATATTGATTAATACTTATGCAGGGTGTGAGAAAAGATGCAGGCCGGTCGACCCGAAATTTATATCTGATAAAAAAACTAATAAACACGTCTTATTATTTTTAATTTATTTATTTAAAGACCTCTCATCCCCAAAAAGTGTTTACACACTAATTTTTATGATAGCGAATACAGAGGGTGGGGATGAGATGTAGGTAGGTGGGGGTAAAAGTCCGCATTTTACATATATGCAATATTTGCCACACTTGTGATTGCAGTATACATATTAAATTTGTCGGGCCATTAGGATAACTAATGCCCTTAGCTGTAAATATAAAACGACAGCTAAGTAGATGTAAGAAAAAAAACTATACCTCAAAGTACAATAGTTTACAAATCGGATTCTTGCCCCTTTAATCGGGGCAAAAGTCCGCATGGCGGATCATTGCCCCCTTTGAATAAAAATAATTTTATAAAAATAAAAATTAATAATGTATCAAATAAAAATCTTTATTTTGTCAACAAACATTATCTAAGAACTTATAAAAATACAAACAAGTAGATGTATGACCTAAACGCAAAAAGATAAAAAATAAAAGAAATTTTTGAAAGGTGAAACATTTTTTAGGTTGCAACTAGTGCAACATTAAATCACTTAAATCGGTTGAAAAGCTCACAAAGTCCTTAAATCTAGCAGAACTGCCTAGCAAAAGCTTGGAAAGTTTCCTTATAATGTCTGTCTTGTTAACAAAAAACTCTTCGTCAGTTTCTGAAAAACGCATTGTATTGGGTGCCCTTTTATAATAAAAATACCAAGGTAACCATCATCTACCATTACAGTAATTCGCATAACGTACATTCGAAATGAGTCCTTGGTTTTGCCGTAAACTTTTACTATAGCAAACTCTCCTGGACTTAATTCGGATAATTCATTTTCAACATCACTTTCAGAAAAACTTAAATTGCTGCTACTATCATGAAGTGATATTTGCGCGTCCGAGTCAGAAGAATATTCATATTCCTTTTTATTTAGTATATTTTGTTTTTCTTCAAATACTTTTCTTACTATATTTTTATTTTCCTTAATGCTTTCCCTCCTTTTTTTCTCGTTCATTTTGTTTTTCTTCTCCAGCTCTGAGATTTCCATTTGCTCTTTATGTGGAGTAGATGTCAGAAGTGTAGATTTCAATCCTTTTCTTGTTCGTTTTCTCTTTTTGGTTAGTTTTGGCAACGGAATGATATCTGACGGTAACGTAGTAGACATTTCATTTTTCGAGCTTCCAGGTTTTGATTCCAAGTTACTTAAAATCAACCAAGTTACTCTATCTGGTAAATTTTCAATATTTCGTTCTTCTGCTTCACCACTTGGTTCTTCTGCTTTATCATTTTCCTGACTTTTGTCTTCGTTAAATACAATCCTTAATTGTGTATCTTTATTATTTCGGTCAAGATCATCTACTTCTTCTTGCTCTTGTTCAGTTACTGAAGAAGGTAAAAAATCTTCCTCAGTAAAGATATTTTCATCTAAAGGGAAAATACCTGTCATTTTAAATCCATTAACAGCTTTAATAATCCAGCGACGTGGTATTCAGTGACTACTTGCCCGGGATTAGATGTGGTCCAATTATCACACAAATCATCATAGTAAGCTTTTAATGGCCTAAAAAAGTTTCTGTCTAGTGGTTGGCGATGGCTGCTATAAGGTGGGAGGCTGAGCAAATAGATGTTATTATTTTTTGCGTAAGTGATAGCCTCTAAAGTGGTATGGGATATGTGGTTATCCAAAATTAATAGCACTGGGCTTTCAGCGGTAGGATTTGTATATTTGCGAAAGTGCTCCAAAAATTGAAGAAACTTAACTAAATTCATGTATCCAGAATCAGTTACAGCCAAAACAGAACCAGTTGGAGCGTCCTTTATCAAAAGAGGATTTAGTCTTTTGCGTGCGAAAATAAAGAATGGTGGAACATAGTGACCTGTTGCACTTATAGAACATGCAGCTGTCACAGTTCTTCCTTGCTCTGCAGCTACATTTTTTGCTACTTCTTTTTTTCCAGTGGGAGCAACATGTTTAGGTAATTAAATTTTATTTGGTACTGTTTGTAGACCACTCTTATCCATGTTGTAGATTTTATTCGCTGAAAATTTATATTTCTCCAAGACAGATTTTAAATTTTGAAAATACTGTGTCAATTGATGTTTGTTGAACCCCATGGTCCTAGCTACACTGGTTTTTCGTGGTGTACGTAGTGAAAGGCGGCTTCGTTTCATAAAATTTCTAGTCCAATCTCTACCTGCTAGTTTTGATTGCTTAGAAAATTGATGCTGAATACCATTTCTTTCTGCAAACTGATATGCCAGAAAACGAAGCGATTTTAGGGTAAGCCCATAGAAACGTAAGTCTAAAGCTTTACAATGGTCCACTATTTGCTGTTCCTGCTCTGGAGTAAATACAGGTCGAAATCTACCCAAGAAATTAACGCTGCTGTCCGTTTTTAGCCTCTTTCGAATGGTAGATTCATCCTAGCCAAGAGTTCTACCTATTTCTCGTGTTGATAGACCTGTTTCCTTTAAATGTTTAGCCTGCATAAAAACATCCTCCGTAAATGGTCTCAGGTTCTTATTTTTTCTCTTGTACGTCCTAAAACAAAAACTTAATTTTTACAAACAAAGAAAAAAAAACGTAATTTATACGAACGTTGAAGTAAAATTCTAGATAATAAACAAAAACGTGCTTAATGAGGCAAAAATCCGCATGCGGATCTTTGCCCATATTCATTGCGGCATGCGGACTAATACCCCAAAATTCACTATTAATTTTAGCTAGGCAAGTTTTGAACAACCTAACCTCAAATTAAAGATTTTGTTTCTAAACATTATTTACAATAAACCGGATTACATAAATTAGTTAACAGACTTTTTAGAAAAATAGTTTAACACATACAATCTTCAAAAGAATGATTAAAAAAATTAGATTAGAACACCAAAATTTAAAACTTACCTCATATTTTCGTTAACTACTGGCGCACGAAGCACGTGTATAATCTGCAGCGCTGTTCGAAAGGTACTGACCGATCCAAGTGTGAGTCAAGTTAATCTATTCGCTCTGTGATCTAGAAAGCGTGTGCAGATTCTTACCCCATGCGGACTTTTACCCCCACCTACCCTATAGTTTCTTTCTATCCGATGTAAATTTCGCGAAATATTCGACCAACCCGCTTCTTTTCTCACAACTTAAATAGGTAGTTAAGTAAATTCTTGATCTTTTCACTGAAAAAGTAAAAAATATTCTTTAAAATTGGGATATATTTTTTTACATCTTTAAAGAGAAGAATGAAGATCTGCGTACAGACACCTGTGACTCACACAGTGTTAAGTTACAAATACCCTAACGAAGCTGTGCCAGGGCGAGATGCCCAAAAAATTTAGACCTTTGGCAATTCGTCCCGTCACCACTTCGAGACAGTCGGATTTCAACAAAAACCTCTTTTTTGTCCCACCAGACATCAGGATGGAAGGGTCGGTTAAGGCAAACATCTCTCCTGATGCCCTTTTAACACCTGACATCTCTTTCGCGTCGTCTGTCTCTCATTCATTCTTATTTTAGCCTTAGTCCACCAAGGTTCTGCTTGCTTGTTTTAGAATTTTGTTGCGAGTTCCCTCTCCTTTCGTTGTTCTGAAGAGAGCAGCTCCCTGATAGATTTATGAATCCGTGTCTACCACCACTCATCCCTTATCATTTTCTCCGCCATTTCTCTCACGTGGCCTGTAAACATTTGCGTCAGATAATAATCCTGCTGCCTTTGCCCACAGTCCACCCAGGTTCGAAGGTTTGGGATTAGTAACTTTGTCCGCTCAGCCACATCACATCCACCTGCCAGCACATATAAAGGAACACAGCTGGTGATAACCCACAGAGCGGCAGCTGACACAGTCCTCGGTAGGCACATGCTACCTGCAGCAGACTAGTTCTACCCACGCGTATCATGAGCCTCTTGTAAGTTGGTTTTTCTACCGTCTCACTCCAGACTGGGGCCGCATAGAGTCACGCCGTGTCAACACCGTGAAGCGCCCTTCTCCTTTTAGATTTGGGTCCACCGATATTGGGCATTATCCTCCCCAGCGTAGCCACCTCTGAATAGTTCTGCGGGTCACCCACCTCAGATGTACCCCCAACTCCCACCCTGGTGGAGAGTAACTCCCAGATACTTGACGTAATCTTTGGACGTCACTGTGACTACCGTGCACTCAAATTCAACCCTATCTCTCTGTTTGTAGCCTCTGAGTACTACAGCCTTCGTCTTATCCTCCGCAAGAGAAAGATCATGCTCGCTTATCCAATCCTCAACTAGGACACACGCAAGCGTAATCCGAACCAAGGGTTCCTTCCTGTCCAGTACCGCCAGCAGCATAGCAAGGTCGTCCGCAAATGCGAAGGGGGTCACACCCTCCCCATATTCGCTGTTTAAGACCCCGTCATATGCCAGGTGCCACAGCGTCGGGCCCAGGATGGAGCCCTTCGGGACCTCAGCCGTTACATCCATCATCACACCATTTTCCACCACAATCTTCTTTTCGGAAATATAATCAGTGACCACATTTCTGAGATATACAGGACAGTTCCTTGCTTCCAAAGAGCTCATGAAACTAGAATATGATTTAGTTAGGGAATATATAAATATTTTGAGTTGAATAAGTTTATTCTATTAATGTCGGTCTTTTTTATAATATAGGTTTGTTTACAAAAATTTTCCAAACTTGCAAGAGGAATTGTAAAATTTTATGTTCAACTATAAAAAAATTAAAATAAATAAAAGCAAAATTATTTAAAATTAAATTAATAATTATCCTGTCTTTAGTTATAATTAATTTAAGTTATTTAAACCAAGTTATAATTAATGACTTGCATCGAGTCTCCAAAACCAAGTAAAACATGTTTCAAAAATATCAGCTATACTGTGAAATATTTCAAAACAAACACCAAATGATCGAACCTATCAGAGATCGATTGTATAAGTCGGAATATTTTTCTGTTAGAATACGTATGGAATTTAAGCAAAGTTTAAAAAGCACCCTTAAATGTCATCATTTAAAGTAGTAGATCTTCTTATTTTATTTCTGTGGATTGTTACGTTATCCTTTCAGTAGTTTACCAATTGTTTACACCCTGTCTGGAGGATAGACGATACATACGTCAAACCTTATAAGATCGCAAAAGGAATACGACAATGGGTCATTGGTAAGTGATTAAATGGTACAGGATGGAGTATTTTCTGAAAACACAGGAAATGATTCTTGTTTTATTTCTCGATATACTGGGATTATTAGAATATCTCAATAGGCAAATCATCTAAAAGGAACACTGATGAGTTGTGTGATAACAAAATGTTGCTGGCAGATGTAGTGTCAGTGCCGGTAGAGAGGGGTTGTGCGCAAGAAAAGTCTTATCTTCCCTCTTGATAATATGGTAAAATATTTAATAAGAGTAAAATTTGTCATCTCTGAATATAGTTACATAATAGACTTATAAGTAGGACTTAATGCTAAACATAATCTGTCTGAAGTCCAAAATCAAAAAATTTAGAGGAATTAGATCAACTAAGACCAAATGGTAAAAATCTAAATCTAAGTAAAGTTCATTGTGATACTATTAGACTCAAAACTTATAATTAATATATTAATTATAAGGAAATAGGTAGAAAGGGGAAATCATGGCTGCGAAATATTCGAGACTGGACAAACATGACTGCAGACGAGTTATTCCACGTTGCAAAAGACAGAGAAACTTTTAGAAATGTGGTCGCCAACCTCCGTTGCATATTTGCAAAGAAGAAGAAGCTTTAAATACCATTTTACATAAGATACCGATTTACTATTTACCTACTATGTAATTTCCACTAAGATATTAAATAACAATAATCATTTTTCAATATTTATGTGAATGAAACCTTATTTTTTTACTATTAATATGTTCTTGCAATGACACAATTTTGATTATTTGGCAAACCTACATTATATTTCACAAAAAATTAAACAAAAATTATTAAAACGTGTTTGTTAATAAATCCACTATAAAAGTACCTACGATTATATTATTATATTCCGTACAAATTTGAAAACTTATTGAGGAGCGCTGATTGACAATAGAGTAGTAAAATGTTATACATTATACAGGTTGTAAAAGATATTTTCACTTACTTGGTCTACTAGTGATAATGTTATCAAAATAAAATGGGAATCCGGTCTTCATACATGGCCTTTACTTTACCAATAATATATTTGTCAACATATTCTTTGTATGTAAAATATGTAAACGGTTTTATTGGTTATTTCTTCTTTCTGATGATTTCGGGTAAGTCTTGAGTCTAATAGTATCACAATGAACTTTACTTAGATTTAGATTTCTAACATTTGGGCTTAGGAGATCTAATTCCTCTAAATTTCTTCTAGTAATTTTTTTGATTTTGGACTTCAGACAGCTTATGTTTAGTGTTAAGCCCTACTTATAAGTCTATTATGTAACTATATTCGGAGATGACAAATCTGACTCTCAATAAGCCAGTAAATATGCCGTAAGCTAGGATGACTAGTCATGCGCATGTGTGTCTTTGCTAGGTCTAGCTATCAACCGATATTTTACCATATTATCAAAAAGGAAGATAAGACTCCCTCTTCGCACAACCCCTCTCTACCGGGGCTGACACTACATCTGCCAGCAACATTTTTGTACCACACAACCCATCAGTGTTCCTTTTAGATGATTTGCCTATTGAGATATTCTAATAATCCCAGTATATATACAAATAAAACAAGAATCGCTTCTTGGGTTTTCAGAAAATACTCCATCCTGTACCATTTAATCACTAACCAATGACCTATTGTAGTATTCCTTTTGCGATCTTATAAGGCTTGACGTGTGTATCGTCTATTCTCTAGACAGAGTGTAAACAATCGGTAAACTACTGAAAGGAGAACGTAACAATCCACAGAAATAAAATAAGGAGATCTAATACTATCTAATAGTTTAAATGATGGCATTTGAGGGTGCCATATTTGCTTTGCTTAAATTCCATACGTATTCTAACAAAAAAATATTCCGACTTGTACAATCGATCATCTGATAGGTTCGATCATTTGGTGTTTATTTTGAAATATTTTACAGTATAGCTGATATTTTTGAAACATGTTTTACTTGGTTTTGGAGACTCGATGCAAGTAATTAATTATAACTTGGTTTAAAACTAAAGACAGGATAATTATTAATTTAATTTTAAATAATTTTTCTTTTATTTATTTTAATTTTTTTTATGGTTGCACAAAAAAAATTTTACAATTCCTCTGGCAAGTTTGGAAAATTTTTGTAAACAAACCTACATTATAAAAAACTACCCCAACTACCCCAACTACCCCAGAATATGATTTAGTTTCCCCAACTAAGTCATATTCTAGTTTCTTTGTATTAAACTATGTAAACTATGCTTAGAGTAAATTTGATAAATGAAATGATAACTAATTTGGGTTGAATGCACTATTTAATTAGCTTTTTTTATTTTAGCTGGTTTCATCTCGTTAACTTCTATCATCCTAGTGGAATTTTTGGGACTGGATAAACTGACAAACGCTTTTGGCCTAATTATCCTTTTCAGAGGAGCAGCCACTGTGTTTGGAACCCCATTAGCTGGTACAATATATGATTTGACAAAGTCTTACACTATACCTTTCTTTGTGTGTGCAGCGGGATTTGGGATTGCATCAGTAATTAGTATGAGTGCTCCTTGTTTTAATAAAAAGGTTGAAGAAAAAGACGGTGAAGTATTAGCTCCAATGAATGTCACCGAAGAAAAAGATCAGAATATAGTGTAAATCGTATTAGACTGCTTTATTACAGTATTTATATTTGTGTTGCAAAGAGTGTAAAAATAACATTACATTAAAGAAAGACTTGAGGTATAACTTTTAATAAAACATTTTTTAAACACATGCGTCTAATTACTTTGTCCATAGCTTAAACTATACCCAATGAAAGAGTTTTTTACAGCAGATATTAACTTATAGAACTTTGAAGGAAAAAAGGAAAGGAATTATTATATAGACTTACTTGTATATCATAGAGAATAAAATGTAACCACAAGCCTGTACTATGGGCAATCTTGTCTGTACATAGTTGCGGAAAAAAAATCTATTTTTAAAAAATTCTAGGGAAATATTTCAACGGTGTGATTACAACATTTAAAAGCAGGTTCATGTCTTGGATTAAATCAACAGTTTGTTTAATCTTAATTTATATAAAAAAAACATAATAAATTTTTAACGGCATAAATTAAAATAATTTATTCTGAAAAATAAAAATTTTATAATTTTAATTAAAACTATTTAAATTAAATTTTCTAAAAGTCAACTAAGTTGTTTCCTCTTTAATGACAGAGTACCGGTTACCCAGGAAACAGCACTAGGCTTATAATAAATCAAATCGTAATATTAATAATATTAATCAATAACAATGTCTGAAAGAAAGGCACCATGCACATAAAATAAATTTAAATATACATTATAAAAAAATAAAAGGCAAATAGTTTATCAGCAGGGTTGATATTGAGGTATAGTTAAAGAAAATGCGCTATACAAATTTTATTGAACAGTTAAATAGCAAGAAATAAGTTACTTCACAATTTATTATTAAATTCAACGAATGATATTTTTTGAAAATTAATTATGAGTAATTTAGTATCCTCAAGAATAAGAAAAAGGCAAGGAATATTATAGTTGTATCTACGTCAATATTTGAAATTATTGAAATGTTTGATTGTGATCACTTCAAATATGTGTATAAAATCTATAATAAGTATAAACTACATATTTCAAAATAAACAAACCATCAATCCATCAAATAAAGGCACTGAACTTGAATTATAAATCAATTCGTAACGATTTAGGTAGCACCGCAGAAATGCTGATCATTGAATCATGAAAATATCGGCTACTCACAATTACTGAAGAATCGATATTGTAATTGATGGACTTTGATCAGACTTAACAATAAACATGACTTCTCCATATTTCATAAACCTATCCATACTGACACGACTTTACACAATTCATCATCCCATCCAACACAACATAAACTGACAGCATATGTTACATAGATTAACAGAAATTCCGATTTCAAAATACAACTTTGAGACAGAATTAAATATAATTAGGATTCTTGTTCTAGCACTCGAACGAGTAAGACGTGTGCCAAGTACAATTAAAATCCAGTTTGCCTTATCGGTAGTAATTAGTGTTTTACTAGTTTTTATTAGTGGTTTTACCAGTCTGCTGGTTCTTGTTGGCCATCCAATTCAATGGATTTTAATACAAATTTGGATAGCAAAAATAGTTAAAGAAGAGAAATAAAACGAGGTTATTGTCTGTATTTACATGAACAGTACAAATATAAACAATACTCCTACAGTTTCTACCCTAACAATGGCCCTTCAAACTGCTACAAACAACATTCCAGCAACTACATCTCTTTCATACGTAACCGCTGCAAAATCTACACCAAAACCATCTTTCCCAAAAAAAGAACAGGCGATAGTTCTTCACGCAGAAGAAAACCTTAAACTTCTAGACTACGTTAAAGCCATTGGTGACATCATCGGACCAAAAAATATTTCCTTTGCATCCAGAATATCTAACAATAGGATCTGCATATATCTAGTGAACTCAAATCTCGTTGATCAACTGCTGAAATCCCATCCAACCGTTCAAATCGGACACCTTACTTTAAGTATTCGTAAACTTGTCTCCCCAACAAAAAGAATATTAATCTCGAACATCTCTCCTTACATTCCCCATGAACTGGCCGAAAATGAAGTGAAAAGTCTTGGTTTCCAAATAGCCTCCCCCGTGTCCTTTCTTAAAGCGGGCATTCCAGGTGATGAATACTCCCACATACTTAGTTTTCGCCGTCAAGTATATATTTTTTCTCCCTCTGATAATTTTGAGCTTCACACCTCCTTGTTAATTCCTTTTGAAGGCAATGATAATAGAATTTTTCTGTCTACGGACAAAATGGAATGTTTCTTATGCAAACAATCAGGACATGTTGCTTCTAATTGTCCCAATACTTCATCTGACAACTTATCATCTGAAAATCCTACTGTTTCCAATGTCCTCCCAAATCCCCCCACCGAATCAACGTCACAGCAACAGAATACACAATTTCCATCTCATTCTGAATCATCTCCCTCCCAAACAATTCTATTTTATTTGTCTTCTTCCCCAGAGAATTGCGAAAATGATACAATATCTGAAAAGTCAGATAAGCTATGTTTAAGTTCTCATCTTTCACAGAAAAGGCCACGCTCATCTGTATCATCTATAAGCGATAAGAACCTTCAATCTGGGGAAAACCCTGCAACAGAACAAACTATGTTTCCTCCCAAACAAACAGTTCCTAGTTCCTCTAGCATCTCCAACACAAAAAAGAAACGAAAACGTAGTTCTTCTCTCGACCCCAGTCTATCCACTGACTCCAAGGAAGCAATACACGAAGCCTATAAACAAAACCCAGAAGCTTTTGCAGTTCCTCCTGATAATATAATTGCCTTTATCGAGAACGCTTACGGCAGCTGTGACCCTGTCTCAGAAGCATTTAAATTCACAACAGATATTAAATCGCTCATTCTAACTTTGCAATCAATAAACCCTAATTTTAAAGATAGGTCAACAAAAATCAAAATTACACGCTTAATTAAAAAAATTAAAACTAAAATACATTCTGCAACAGATGATTCTGAAAGTATAAACAGTCTTGATAATCCCCAGGATGCTTGTGATAAAGAATACCTGTCTGATAGTTCACAAACCTCGCAAACATCCAAACACTCTATATATTAATTTCAACCTTCACACTGATACAATGGAATTGTGACGGATTTTATCCCCGTCGTCCACGCCTTGAACAGCTCATATCTGAGTCTTCTCCTGACTTTCTATGCCTACAAGAAACAAACTTCACTGATAAATATTCCGGACAACTTAAAAATTTTACAGGTTACCACTATATTCGAACTACCCAACTTCGTGCCAGTGGCGGAGCATCAATTTTTGTTTCCACTGATATTTTCCATAAAGAATTTCCGCTAAACACAAACCTCGAAGCTATAGCCGTTACAGCTTGGTGTCCCTGCAAAATTACAATTTGTTGCATATACATCCCTCCAAACTACTGTTTAATAAGTTCCGATCTTGAAGATTTAATTTCTCAGCTTCCTACACCTTTTATCTTAGTAGGTGACTTTAATGCCCATAATACTATGTGGGGATCCGAAAACACATTTGGAAGAGGTAAAACAATCGAAAATTTTCTAAATATCACAAATATAAACTTACTAAATTCAGGAAGTAGTACATACTTTCACATCCAATCGGGTAGTTTCTCTGCCATAGATTTATCTTTCTGTAATCCCGGAATATTTCCTTTACTTTCATGGTACACATTAAACAGTCTCTATGATAGTAATCATTTCCCTATCCTCATCTCTGACCAGTCAAAAATGCCCTCAAGAATTATAACAAAATGGAAAATCACTCAAGCAAACTGGGATCTTTTCAGAACCACTGTTAAGGGAAAAACCGATGAATTACTTTTTACCAATGATATAGATACAGATGTAAAACTATTAAATAACTGTTTAACCGAATCTGCTGAGAAATGTAATGGTAAATGCGCGATTGATCCTTCCAAGAAACCTGTTCCGTGGTGGAATGAGTCGTGCAAAATAGCTGTCAAACAATGCAAAAAAGCATTAAATAAATTCCGGAAGACCCGTACCACCACGGATTTAATAAACTTTAAAAAACTTAGGGCCAAGTCTAGGCGTATTTTAAAAGAAAGTAAGAAAGCCTCATGGAATCAATACGTTAGTTCAATCACAAAAGATACTTCTCCCGCGCAAATGTGGTCAAAGATAAGACGTATGAAAGGTCATAATACTTCCAGCAAAATAGCCGCCATCTCCCTGCAGGATCATACAGTTACCGATGATCAACATATTGCAGATGTCTTTGCCTCTCACTTTTCAGATAAGTCAAATATTCCGAATCTTCCCAATAACTCAGATACCAACATTTCCAGCCCCAAAATATTTTCTAACACCAGCTCTATGAATCTTCCTTTTAATCTCCTAGAATTAAACGAAGCCATATCTTTATTAAAAAACTCAGCAGCCGGTCCTGACGATATTCCATCAATATTTTTAAAAAATCTACATCCAGACACACATCTCAAACTGCTAGAGTTGTATAATAAGATCTGGTCTCAAAACCAGTTCCCAACGTTATGGCGACAAGCAACTACAATTCCTATTAAAAAGAATGACTCATCTCCAAATCTTCTAAAATCATATAGACCAATTTCTCTCACTTGTTCACTATGTAAACTGTTAGAAAAGATGGTTAATAAACGCTTACTATGGTATCTAGAAATAAATAATATTCTTGACCTATTCCAAACAGGTTTCAGATCAAATCGAAGTACAATGGATAACCTGGTCACATTACATACTGACATTGTTAATGCATTTTCGAATAGAAGCGAAGTCATAGCAGTAACATTAGATATCCAAAGTGCCTTCGACACTGTACAAAGACCTCTAATTCTAAGAAAATTAACGGAATATAATTTAACTGGTAACATTTATTTATTTTTAAAAAATTTTTTAACAAGTCGATATTTTAGAGTATTAACAAATGGAAAAATATCAAAACCACACGCTTCGGACAACGGTTTGCCTCAGGGCTCAGTCTTAAGCACTACCTTATTTTTACTTAGCATGAATGACTTTTCCTCATATATAGAACCACCAGTCAGGTACTCGATATATGCCGATGATATTATATTATACTGCCGAGGCAGAGTCACAGCTACCACAAGCACTTTGCTACAAAACACAATAAACAAAATAGACACCTGGTCTACGCGTGC